TTATTTCTAGTAATTGCAACACAATAGAGCACAACAAAATCTCAAAAGCGTTCCTGTTCCTTACCCCCATTCCACAACATGGGACTCATAGTCCCAGTATTCTCTAGGTCTTTGGGTATTGACGTCCGGGTAAACTCTAGAGCGGCTTGGAACAGGGCCAGACATATTCTGTGTGGGATCTTCTCTAGATGTCCTATAACATGACAGACAGGGACGAATACACATAAAATTTACCCCTCAAAACCAACAAGAGCATGTAACTGATAACGGCAGCTAAATAAATTCCATATATTAATCACTACGATTAAAAAAATAAAAAATTATATACCAGACCTGATACAATACCTGGGAGGTTTCCTCCAGGATTAATGGTGACAGAAGAAGTTAACAAAAGTTGCTTAGATGCCTTAGATGTAGGTAAGCTAAACAGACAAAAAAAGAAAGATCTACGGTTAGAGTGAGCAAAGGCACAACAAAATCAGCTATGATATGACCAGTAATCCGTTTCACGATTCAAAAAATGCTCCACTCTATAACCTTCAAACATAAACAATTAAAATCAAACAACTTCAAAAAATAATTCTCAACAACTAAGCAGTTTGGTGCATGGGGTGTTTGCATATGATGGCGTATGAAATGGAGAAACCTTGGTGTTAAATGGGGGCATCCAACCAGTCTAATCAGGAGGAACAGGGCTCAGTACAGTCATCACTGGGGGCTACAACGACTACCTCCTGTTGGAAAAAAAAGGAGACAGAAAGTAGGCTGATTAAAATCAATAGGGTCAATTAGGCAAACATGGGCAAAGTATGTGAGGCATCGCACGCCAGCGAATGAAGCTGAGGTTAACGGACCTCCATCTATAAAATACAGTCGCAGAAAATTTAAATAGGCCAAAATGATGCGTTCATACACGTACACAAGTCCATTAAAATCGGTCAATTGGCTTAATAAGTTGATACAAAAGATAAAAGTAGGCACAAACCAAGTGCGGCCTACGGCCTGGCTGGGTGCTAACAGCTAGAAGCTAACAGCAGAACCGGGAAGCAGGTAGGGATGCTAACAAGCTAGCGTTAGCTCGTCAACAGCAGAGTGAAAAGCCGGTTGGAAAGTCACACAGTCCTCGACCACATTCCAGTGTAATATTGTGTATAAATAAACATTAAGCTTTAAAATATCAAACTAAGCGCCTTGTAGGCCTTTATATATGTTTGGCTTTATAAAAAAATCTTAGAAAATGGGTACATTTCCTTTTGCTAAAAAGTGCTAGGCTAGAAGGCTAAGGGAGTGAATAGACTGCTTTCTGGCGAGGCAACGGGCTGACAACGCCTTGACAAAACAGCCCACGAACACCGTAATTGTGAAGCATATGGGATACCACAGATTAGCTACTCGTACCCGGCTTTTCAGTCCGTCTAATAAAACCAACGCGGGTTATAAAACAACAAGGATTTCCGATTAAATAACACGATTACCTCTCAGCGTTGTTGGGACGTCAATATGGCGATGCCCGAGATCAAGAGCTTAATGCGAAAGGTTGTTCCAGCAGGGGGCGCTCGTTATTTTGTGTTCTCCATGAAGAAAATTTTTTTTTCCGCTTCTTCTGCCATGACAGGTACGTCTGACCGAAAGGAAACTTTGGTCTACACGTGTCTCTGAGTGGATTTAATCCGAGATATGACTTTTTTTTTTATCAAATGAAACGTCATTGAAACACACGATTCAGTGCACAAAAAACACCACGTCCCCTACAGCTCTTATGATTAAAGTATGGGAATTTAATGCATTCAAGTGACTGCAAAATTAAAATTAAATCATAAAAAAAAGGAGGGCAAAAACTGTGTATTTTAATAGCACTCAAGGCCTATTTTTTATGTCACAGTTATAGACCTAATTCTTTTTTTATTTTGATTATATGAAGGATACAAAACGGATCTCTTTGCTGATGGACTGACTGCAGAGACAAAGACAATCACTTAAAGCTTAAAGACCAGACTCAAAATAAAATAAAATCTCAAGGCTGAAGGACTGGTGTGGACATTTCCCAACCAAGTTTGGGCATGGAGGGGACAGTCCCCACCAATAATGTCCGCCTCTCCCCCCCTTCCGCTGATTTACTTCAGCCAACAGTAACTGGGGTTAGGTGCAGCTAACTGTGTTCAGAGCGTTTTCAGTCCGTGTTTTTTCCTCGCTCTGCCGCTGCTCTCGAGTCCCACCTCTCAGTGAAACATCATCAGATCTGTAGCTTTGGGACATTCACTGCGCACAGAGTCGCTAGGAGGATGAGAAGAGATGCTAATATGGCAAACCATAACCTTAACATACTGTCTGTTTCATCTGAACTAACTAACTGTTTTAACATAAATTCGCAGCAACACTCAGTGAATTTTAACTGGCAGCTACTTCGATATATGTTTAAGTAAAACTTAGGAGACGGGTTGGTTAAAAAAATCAGAGATGCCACAGAACTTTTTCAGCAAAAAATGGCAGCAGATTGTACATTTATATAAGTAAAAAAAGCTGGTCTTCTCAGGGCCATACTCAGAGTTACGTAACTCTGAGTATGGTCCTGAGAAAACAACAGATATGGGTTCATTTTAATCTGACAGATTAAAATGAACCCATATCTGTTGTTTTCTTATTGAACAGAGAATCAGACTGCAGAGCTTCTAGAGATCCTGAAAAAGATTTTCTCTGGCATCATTATATTGGTAGGTTCATAAATCTGTTTTTAAGCAGAACAGAGACACAATTAGGGACAGCTGCTGATTTAAAGGTGAAACAGATTAACTGGGATACGCAACATGCAATAAATTGTATTGCCAAGTTTACATGAATAAATATGCAATGCTTTAATAAAATTCAACATATCTTTTTGTCTTTTGTAGTTCAACGAGACTCAGAAAGAGCTGCAACCCAGAGACAGTCAGTTTTACTGGACACAGACTTAAAATTAAAATATAAGAATTAAAGCACAAATAATACAAATGAGTGTATGATTTTTGAAATATAAGGTTCAATACATAGACTTTGGCCGTCAATGACATTTAGGACAAATTTCTAAATTTGATTTTGCTGCTTGTGAAGGAGGATAATCACTGATGCAGCTTAAAGGGAAGCCATGCATGGATGGATGATATATTGATGTTGGCATTGGATATCGTCATTTTTTTTTATACATTAATGTGTTTGAGCCCTTTATAAAACAATGCACTCAAGGAAGGCATCTGTCTATAACTATATATAGCACAAATGTATTGTTGCACTCTTGTGCTCTCAACAATAGTAAAGCATTCAATAAATATATGTTTGAGATATTTTTTGGAAAATATAAACCTTATTGAAAGCATTGGGGATGAGTAGCTGTAGTTCCATCAGCCACCACCCTTAGGGCGTCCCCACCAACTTTTATCGCAAAGTTACACCCTTGTACCAGATCCATCCATCCATCCATTTTCGGACATTCCTAATCCCAAGTAGGGTCGTGAGGGGTGCTGGTGCCTATCTCCAGCTGTCTATGAGCGAGGTTCTTCCTTGACAGGTCTCCAGTCCATCGCAGGGCAACACAGAGACAAACAGGACAAACAACCTTTCACACACACACTCACACCTACAGGAGAATTTAGAGAAGCCAATTAACCTCACAATCATGATTTTGGACTGTGATCATACAGTCAAATTGATTCAAAGTTTTCTGTCTAAGGAAAACCAGTTGATTGCATCGACTCAAAGGCAATCCCTCACACTAAGTATGCTGGTGGCGACAGTAGAGAGGAAAAGCTCCCTTTTAACTGGAAGAAATCAAGCAGAACCAGAGTCAGTGTGAGCGGCCATCTACCGAGGCCGACTGGGGTTCAAGGAGACAGAAGCAGAGATAGAAAAAGAAGCAGAGAAACAAAAGGAACTGTAAACCAGCTCCACAGGCAACAAACACACAGCCAGGCAGACGAGCTCCGTGTCAGCTCCCATGTCAGAGGATGAAGAGAGCACATCCACTTAGTCACAGTCAGAGAAACAGGACTACACTGAAAAACAGGCCGATCTCAAACATATGTAAACAAAGGTGTTGATGGATGCAGCACAGCTGATATTTCTCTCCAGGATGGAGTCAAAGCTAAACAGGAACAGACCAGATGAAGCTACTATGAGAAAAAGCAGCATAAACAAATAATTGACTTAAACATTTGTTAATACTTAGTTTAAATATCAAGCCCATCTATAATTTAGGTCTGAAGTATACACTTTATGAATGAGTATCTGTGCCATCTTTACGGAACAGAATTGGTAGAGGAGAGTGGCAGAACATTTGAACTTGGTAACAGCTAGGCTTCTTCTAATTATACTGTCCATTATAGACAAATGGTGGCTAAATGCTAGCCAGGGTGAACATATTTAGTCTACACCACAGTTCCCTTCCTCTGCTTATGCGTTTTCAGTACCTGCTTTAGACGCACCTAATCTACCCACTACAATTATAACAAAATTCAATTTCCATTCTTAGGACCGTAACACGTCCAAACGTGATAACGTTTATTTAGTTTATTTAACAATAAAATATATACAAAACTTAACAAGTTCAAATTTACAGGAAGATTCTAAAAAAGGAGGATCATAAGATTATCTACATCAAAGAACCGTGCCCCAACATTTCCTTTTATTCAATGTTTTCTAAAACCACAAAAGAACATATTCTGTACTTAAGCAGGTGGAAGATTTCAATTAAAGCACTGAGTCAAATTAAGCTGGTTTTTAAACCACAGTTGGTACACAATGAAACAAAAACACAATGAACACAATGTACACAATGAAACAAACATCTAACCCTAACCCAGGGATGAAGGGTTTTCTTTGGGTGACTCACTGGAACAAACTAATATTTAAAACTAAAAATCTTTTTTTTTTAATGCTGTTTTTTTATTTAAAGAAAAAATAAAAATTCTTGCATTTTATGGAATAAATTTTGTTCTGTTTTAGAGCAAAGAACATGTTTTGTACAGGAATGTTTGAAAAAAAAAACCCAACAAATTAGAAAGGAAACTTCTTAAACAAAAAGATTTTCAGAGTAACTTTGCTGTTTTCTTAGATTCCACGTAGAATGTTAATAGTTTTTTTTCTTCTAATTTTTGCCTGATTTGTTAACAGGCAATGTCTCCTTCTTCTACTTCCCTTTGGTCTTCTTCCCTTTGGTCTTCTTGCTTTTCTTGCTCTCTCTTTCTCTACTGGAAGCACTGAGGCCTAGGCGGACCATGCAGCCTCTCCACCAGGTTTGGATCTGCACAGATCAGAACAGGTATATCACCCAACTGAGAGGGGCTTTCTAATATTACCTCTAATGTGGCGTTACCTTGATCGCAGCTCGGTCCTCAGCTTCCTTTTGGCATAAAATCTCTTGCTCCTCTCTGTATTCTTTCACCACCTGCTCCATTTCCCTGAACTGAAAGCAACAATCATTGGTATTGGTGCAGTAAGCTGTGTGACAGCTGCTGCGCCATGACCACTGCTCACCTTCCTCTTCATCTCCATCAGTCTGTCCGTTTGCAGAGTTTTTTTGCAGCCTAAGGTATTAAACTTCTCCCGGTTTTCCTGCTGTATCTGCTGAGTTTTTTCCTTCAACATGTGCAGCTCCTGTTCAAGCTTCTATTCAGAAAAAAATAGATTGCCTTAATAATTCCTTGAGCCATTCATCACATAAAAAAACCTTGAATTTATATGTGTGTCTGAAAATTCAAAAACGTCATGTCATCCTCTGCAATACAGTGGATGAAAACTGCTCTGCTAGGGTAACAGTAAATCTAAATTACCTCTAAACAGGATTTTTCTAAATTTGGAAAATAACACAGAGCGCAGTGAAAAAATATTTACACCTGTAGGGACTTCTGCTAGGTTTTCATTTCAGCCACTTAGATGTAGATTATCAGACACATTTTAGACAAGACAAATTTTAAGATCTAAGAAAAGTTACCTGAGATAATGACTTTGAGGGGAATCTCTGAATTCAGGTATTTTCTGTAATGTTCAGGAAATGTTCAGACGTCTGCACCTTTATATTGGTTTACATTTGACTAAATTATCATTTATTTAATCAAATTATGATTTTAATGAAAGTATCAATTCTTTTTCTGTTTTGTGTTATTTGAATTATTAGTGTGAATTTATCATTTTCTTTAAAGGGAGGGTATGTAAACTTTAAAGCACAACTCTCCTATCCTGGCTTCTCTTCATTGGTTTCCTGTTAAAACCAGAATAGAATTTAAAATCCTCCTTCCCACATATAAAGCCTTAAATGGCCAAGCTCTATCTTATACCAGAGATCTGACTGTTCCTTATGTCCCTAACAGAGCACTTCGCTTTCAATCTGCAGGTTTACTAGTGGTTCCTAGATTTCCTAAAAGTAGAATGGGAGGCAGATCTTTTAGTTATCAGGCTCCTCTCCTGTGGAATCAACTACCAGTTTTAGTCTGTGAGGCAGACACCCTTTCCACTTCTGAGGCTAGACTTAAAACATGCCTTTTTGATAAAGCTTATAGTTAGAGATGCTCAGGTTATCCTGAACTATCTCTATAGTTATGGTGCCATAGGCTTAGACTGTTGGAGAACATAGGGACCCCCCTTTTCAACATTCTGCTTCATTCTATCTCTATTCTCCCACTCTACAGAATCTGTTAGTTGAATCTCTAACTTTCTGCTCTCTCTGCTTTTTCTCATAGTAGCTTCATCTGGTCTGTTCCTGTTTGGCTGTGACTCCATCCTGGAGAGAAATATCAGCTGTGCTGCTTCCATCAACACCTTTGTTTATAGATGTTTGAGATCGGCCTGTTTCTCTGACTGTGACTAAGTGGATGTGCTCTCTTCATCCTCTGACATGGGAGCTGGCTTGGAGCTTGTCTGCCTGGCTGTTTGTTTCCTGGAAGGGTCCGCCTGTGGAGCTGGTTTAGAGTTACCTTTTGTATCTCTGCTTCTTTCTGTATCATTGCTTCTGTCTCCTTGAACCCCAGTCGGCCTCGGCAGATGGCCACTCACACTGAGCCTGGTTCTGCTGGAGGTTTCTTCCTGTTAAAAGGGAGTTTTTCCTCTCCACTGTCACTACACGCATGCTTAGTGTGAGGGATTGCCTTTGAGTCAAAGCAATCAACTGGTTTTGCTTAGATAGAAACTTTGAATCAATTTGACTGTATGATCTGGTTGAATTGTAAAGAGATGACGTGTGTTGTGAATTGGCGTTATATAAATAAACTGAATTAATCGAATTATAAGTACTCCCAATGCCTGCTTTGAGCATTTTATCCAGCTATGATTGTGTGGATTCTGCTTCTGAATGAAATTACACATTTCTTGGAAACGTGAGCTAAATTTCTTTCCCTATATTGAGGCCAGACTTCTATCAGAAGGAAATATCTTATATGCACATCAAACAAAATTCAGTCTTTTTTTTTTTAAATATAGAAACCTCCCAGGAGTGACGCTCAGACTAAAACTCAAACTCCAAAGAGCATCAATCCTCTAGGAGGTGAAAAGGGGCCTAAGGCAATAGGTTACCTCATTTGAGGTCAGAGGTCATGATTTAACAAGGAGCAAGACAACAGCCAAGGACTGGGTCCATTGGAGAGTTCAAGAACAAAAACACTTACAATTAAAAGAACATTTGCCAGAGATCACAGTGATGCTTGCTGTGGTTTTGGGGGAAGTATTGGAATGAAAGTAAAAAATGTTTAACTTTTGAAACAGGTGAATCTCTTAACCTTTGGAGTAAAACTGTATTTAAAAACCATTAAACATGGGGTTGGAAATGTTGTGGTCTGGTGCTGCTTTTGTGTGTTAGAACCTGGATGACATATAATAAATTGAAATAGGGCTGAAATAATGAATTGGTACACATGTATATTTGCGTATATTACATTTTTTTAACAAGATTTTTGTCATTTACAATTCATATAAAATAAATACATTTTTCTAATTTTCAAACATTCATTTATTTAGTGATTTTAATTCACTGCAAATATTTACTTTTAGATTCATGGATTAGTTGAAAAAATTAGCGATATTTGATTACTAGAAGAGTCAGTAGCTACAGCCTTAAATAAAGCTGTTAAATTCTGCTTTCCAGCAGAGTTCCTATAAGACAATGAAGGACACCAGTTTGTGGGCTTTAGATTTACTAAAGGTTTTGTATCTCAGTGACCATTTGAGGCATTTGAACAAGCCCACCTCCTAATGGTTTTGGAGAAACCTGGACTTAAACAATATATATGCAGAAACCAGATGCAAACTGACCATTCATGCTTAAGAAAAAGGAAAGGACAGAATTCCTCCATAGATATGAGTAACAAACATCAATTATCAGGTTTACATTGCAGCTGCTCTTTTGGATAATTGAGCTTTTTTTTGATAAAATAAACAAACAAAAACCCCCAGAATGGAATCATCACTGTAGATGGTATTTTTATGTTTAGTCGGTTTAGATTAGTCTTATTTTCTATCTGTTTGATGATCAGCTAACGCTTTTATATAAGCACTGTTTCATATATCATTATGGAGGTAAAATAACTGACATCTGTTCAGCTTTAAGCTCATTTTGTCTTTTGTTCTTTTCAAAAATGTCCTTTGGAATAACAATGTTGTTAATTTTACTTTAATCATGACGTTCCCCTTAGCACTGCATCTAGTCATTCTGTTTAATATAGTCTAAGTTTTTAACTTGCTGATTTTGGTATTATTGGTATCTACATTTATCCTAGTTAATAGAGTGAAAAAAATTAAGAATTGTCTTGTAAGTTCCAGTTATTATAGTTCCTATACCAGAACTATATGAGAACTGTAAGCAGCAGTCAGATTCATTTCCAAGCACCAAATTCACATCCTACTTATCTCACTGCTTTACCAACCTCGTGTTGATTTTGGAGAAATTCCATAGTCTTATCATGAAATCTCTTCTCTTCTTCCAAAACCTGGAAGCAAATGTGAAAATGCAAAACTGGGCTTTACTTAAACACTTGTATTTAAGAGGTCAACGTGACATGAATGAAATTCCTGGGAGACTGCTGTACCTCCAGCTGTTCCATCTTCCGAGCCTTTGGCCAGTTCCGCAGAAGTTTTTGTTCGAAATCTTTCAGGGGAAGCTTCTCCTCCTCCCTCTCCTCCTCATTCTTTTGCTTCTCCATGTGGATTCTTCTGACTTCTGATTTTTTGAACTTGTACACCTTATTCTGTGGGAGAAAATCACTGAAAGAGTTGAGGTTTCAAATGAATGTTTGTTTAAAATGATGCAGATATTGACCTACTGACCACCATATAAGGTACAAATGTTCAACTGCTGTATGGACAAAAAAAAAACAAAAGTTGTCTAGGTGGTCTGAGAAGAAGGACAAGACTGGTTTTGAAATAATAAACAGTCAATGGTACTTCAAATAACACAGTGTTTTATCAAGGAATTTCTTGGGTGGGGGGGTTTGGTGGGGGTAAGGTCACAGTAGGAGGAAACCAGACCAGGTGCAACAACTGTCAGATAAGGTTGATAAAACCAGGTAACAAATTCCTCATCAAAACTGGAAACCAATGGAGGGAAGGCTCTTCTCCTGCTATAGGCTATGTCTGCCGGAAGACATGGGGACCATACTCTCCAATTCTCCATTATTTAAAGTTGTAGGAAAACGGCTGTTCCAACCGTTGCATTTCTCAATTCTCCCGAGTGGTGCATGACTTTACATGCGTGAATAAAGTGAATGTGATTGGTCTTTTATCAAGGGGGCGGGATTGTGGTGGTGTAAGGTTCGCAAGCACGTTTGGTTGTGGCCTGTTTATTGGAAGCACCTTGCTAACCAGTTAGCAACTTAGTGCTAGTAGGGTCCCAATGGGAAATTACATTGGGACCAAGTAGCAATAAATTGGTGACTTAGAAACGACACTGTCAAGGAATGCTATGGACAGCGGAAACATGCAAAAGAGGAGGAGAGTTTTGTGTCGGAGGTCGTGGATGAGTCTCCTCCGTCATACATTTTTTATTTAGAGGAGGAAAGCGGGGACGAAGATGTTGTAGAAGAGGACGCCAGGGCGGCAGAAGCTTGGTTTGGAGTAGAAGGCTTACAGCCGTACATGTTTGAGCCCTTGCCTCGCAGCACTGCCTGTTCTGTTAGCTCTACGCCTGCCAAAGACACAGACGTCCATCCCCGTGAGCACTGGGACGGAACTCAATGGGAAAGGAAATTATTCTGATTTCTTATTTCAGCCGTTGCGTGTATTAGCTGCAACATATGAATCAAGATTCTATGACCGAAACAATTTGACAGATGACCGTTGATATATGATTGGCCGAATTTAGGTGTTCAGGCTGACGTATAACTAACTGGCCTGGATAAGATAATGAAAAAAACCCCCACATATTTTAAGACAGGATTTTTTTTTTTTTAATACAAATTTTCAACATTTTGGGACAATATCCTCTGATAAAGAGTACATTTATATAAATGTTTAAGCCAGAATGATTTGACATTTAAATATGACTTCCCTGCGACTTTAATTGTTCTTACTGTGGCTAACTGGACATTCTCTATTTCATCCCTTTGACATGAAAACGGACTCAGAGTTTATCGGCTTAATAGTTGCTTTACCAGACAGAACCACCTATTAAGCTAGTCTATTGTTACCTGACAGAAAATATTTATAGATCAGTGCTTCTATGTTCCTTTTATATGTGTGCCTCTGTCTCCCTGAACCAGTCTCACAATGAGCCTGGTTCTGCCGGAGGTTTTTTCGTGTCTAAAGGATTTTTATTCCCTTTCTGCTGCCTCTGCATTGACTCTCTGTAGAGTCAATAATAATGCAATCAAACATCAACTTTCACCACGTCCTCATCCAGAAGGAGCGGATTCTACAAAGTCAATGACTGAATTTTAATCAGCTGGTTTTCCTTATAGAAATATGAGTGGATAATCAGAATGAATTATCTCTCTAAAATGCATTGAGATGACAAATAAATTAAATACATTGAATTAAAACAATAGTTTTCCCTAACCAAGAGCTCCCATTTTTACCCGGGATATTCAGCATCAGGCCACTGTTAGTGGTTCAATGATGTGATGGTAATCCCCCTAAATACGTTGGGGTCCCTTAGCATTTGTACATCATTTAAACACCACAGCCTACTTGAGTGTTGCTGCTGACCATCTTCACCCATTTATGACCACAGTGTACAGTCTTCTAGCAGAGCACTTCATAGATTTAGCAAAACAGGACCATTAGAGCCATTGGTGATGAATCAACAAATTCACAGCCACGGTGTAACAGCATCTTGCCAATATGGACTATTCTCACACCTTGCTGACTGCCCCAGAGAACTGAGAAGGTTTTAAATGCAAAACAGAGACCTGCTCATAGAAAGGTACAGTAAAGGACAATCTGTTCGGTAAGTGGATATAGAAAAACTTCATTTCTCACCTC